CAGAGCTGGGAGGGCCCTTAGGACACAGAATGTCAGAGCTGGGAGGGACCTGAGAAAAATCCAATCCCTAGTTTTAAAGATGGTCACACTGAGACATAGAGAGGGAAAAGGCACATGGGCGAGAGCTGACTCGTCCAGTCCTCCAGATTCTCTTGAAGTACTCTGGGTCTAAGCCAATGGTTTCCAAATTCCCCTTCTGTGCACTTTTCAGTCTTGTCTCCTCACTGGTACCCACTGCCCAGGGCAGGGGCAACCCCTTTCTCCCCACCCATTCCCACCGATGAGTCCAGAGCCTACAATGAGATCCCAGCTAAGCAGTTGTGTGAAATTTATTCTTGTGCTGACCAAGTGTGACCACTAGAGGGAACTCGTCAACCACAGCACAGCCTTCAGAACCCTGGAATTTGGGAAGGGAAGAGAAGCGACGGTTGGGGTGGGGGTTAGGGGGAGAAAGCCAGTGGCTTTCAGGAGAAGAAGGTAGAGCAGAGAATGTCGGGCCTGGGAAGACCCTTAGAACCCAGAACGTCAGAGCTGGGAGGGTCCTTAGAACCCAGAACATCAGGGCTGGGAGAACTCTCAGAACGTCAGAGCTGGGAAGGTCCTTAGAACCCAGAATGTCAGAGCTGGGAGGGTCCTTAGGGCTGAGAGGACCCTTAGAACAGAATGTCAGAGCTGGGAGGGATGTCAGAACATGGAACATAGAATGTCACAGATGAGTCACATACCTAATGAGCCGTTCATGTGGTGTGGCTCCATCGCCCCCATCGCTGCCATGGGGCCCTCAGGCCCGGGACCCATTGGGAACTGTAGAGAGAGGTGAGTGTGGGGGGGTGGTCGGGAGCTGGGGTACAGAGGGCAGAGAGGTGCCGGGGAGAGCTGGGTAAGAGGACTTAGCCAGGTGTCAGGGTATTGGGAAGTCAGAGGTTGGGGATGGGGCTCTGGAAGGGGGCTGAGCCATTTGGGAGGAAAGGTCACTCACGTTGGGTCTGTTGCTGCCTGGCCCAATGGGGTTCATCATGGTGTACATGCTCTCACTGGAATTGGTTGAGTCTGGGGATTGGGGAGACGTAAGGAAAGACCCTCCTCCTCCTCCTCCCCCCATTCCCTCCTCTCTCCCACCAAAATCCCCTCCCACCCTGCAAGGCTCTCCCATCCTCCCCACCAGCCCCTACTAAGTCCTACCCACAAGGCCACTACTGTACCTCCAGGACTAGGCATGATGGGGGTTCCAGGGGGGCCACCGCCTCCTGGGGGACCCTGTGGACATGCAGAAAATGAGGTAAAGACCAGTGAAGATGGAGGTCCTGAACAAACTCAGGTACCTAATGTCTCATAGCCTGCCCTCATTACTGACTTCATCTTAACTCCTGGCCTCACCCTGACTTCTGACCTAAGACCCCTGACCTCCCTCAGACCATGACCCATTCTGACCTGATCCCTTTGGGCAGTCCTGTGACTTCACCCTCACCTTTGACCCCTGCCCACCCCGTGAAGCCGGGGTACAGACTCACCACATAGTTGCCTGGGGAGGAGGAGGAGTATGCTATCTGGGGAAGCAGGGGGAAAATAGCAGTTAGCTCCAGCTCTGTATGAGGCCTGCTGTGTGCCAGCCCCAAACTTTCCAACCCTCTCCCAGGAAGATGATGCCAAGGGACGAGTCTGTGGGGCCCCCCACCAGGGAAGGTCCGTCCCACTCAGCCCATGCTCCCCTCACCCCTTGCCAGTGACTCACTGAGTTGGCGCTGGGGTTAGGCCATGGTCCCCGTCCTCCTGGACCCCTGGAACAGACAGGGGTGGGTCAGTCTGAGGGAGGTAACAACCTGGGAGCTATGCCTGGGCACTGGTGGTCAAGGGTACAAACACATGCATGTACATCTACATACAGACAGACATAAGCACCCATGGGACATGTATGCACACACATACTCCACACACACTCCAACATTTTAGAACATGGGTGTGCCTGTGTACACACACATAAAAGCATCAGCACATGCACATCTAGACACATGGATGCATACATTACATAGGCAGGCACACATGTGTACACACACACACACACACACACAAGAATGCTGTGGTGTGAGGGCAGGGCCGGAGGCCGGCCAATGAGGGTGGCTTATTGGGCTTCCTTACATGTTCATCCCTGGCATGCCGGGGCCAGCGAGGGCATTGGGTGGGGGCCTCATTCCGCTGCCATAATTCTATAAGAAAAGAGACAGAGCCTATGAGGCTGGGCTGAGCTCGGCTGTCAAGGGAGGCCCGGGCCCCTCAAGTCCCCCTCCAAGCAAGGCCCCACCTTACCTGAGGCCCCATCCCCGCCATTCCCCTGGGTGGATTCATTCTCTGCATTGGGCCCCCCATACTCGGATGGCCTGTGAGAGGAGAAGAGCTCTGTGGGGTCCCAAGGTTAGTGTCTACAGATGCCCCAGGATGCCCAGACAGAAGGGGAGAGGCGGGGAAGACAACTGGGTTCTAGAGTGTGGTCCAATGACTGTGACTCAGATTAGCAGTGATGGTTCTAGATCAGAACAGGGTCCAAAGCAGTAATGACAGCAGCCACCAGGACAGGGGATCAGAGCTGATGGTGGCTCCTAGCCCTGGCGTTTCAAACCTTGCCACATCTACCTTCATCGCATCTCCTGTCCACGTGCACGCCTCCACCCTTTACGGCTAGCCCAGCCCTAGCACCTCAGTATGAACTATGCAACAGCCTTTCTGCTTCCATCACTCTCTTCTCCTACTCAAGATCCCTCCCCCCAGCACTCCCCAGTGCTTTCCCCACTTCTTAGCCTTCCACCAGGCCACGCGCTGGACTCTGCTCTCCTCTCTACCCTTCTTCCATCGGCTGCCAAGGTGATTTTCCTAAAGCACAGGTCTTTGGGACTCAGCTCCAATTTCACCTTTGAAAGGAGGCCTTTCCCATAGGCTCCAGTACGTGTGTAAGATCTACATTGTCATTTATCTGTTGTGTCCCCAATTAGACTGGCAGCTCCCTGAGGGCAGGGACTGTTTTTGCCTTTCTGTGTATATCTCCAGCACTCAGCACAGTGCCCCATATATAGTAAGTGCTGAAGCCTGAGGCTCCCTCTCTTTTTCCTCTGTCCTTTCAGAGCCAGGGTTAAGATTCCAGGGATACCTGCGGTGGGATCCAGGGATGGGGTGCAGGAGGAGGGAGGGGCTCCTGGGTCTCTGGCGTGCTACTCACCTTGAGCCCGCGTGGATGGGTCCATGGCATTAGGCAGCAGCGGCTGGGAGCCCGGGACTCCCACAGGTGGCTACAAGGGAGTGCCAAAGATGAGGCCCAGGGACAAAGCAAGCCCCAGGCCCTCCCCTGCCTGCCCTCAGGCCCCTGCCAAGCCTAGCCCTAGGTTCTCCTGGCCCAGAACCCTGGGCAGGGGAGATTCGGTGAGTACGCCGATGGAGACAAAGAGGTTTACCTGGTTTGGCATTCGGAGGGACGGCCGGGGGCCTCCTGGGTACCGCGGGGACATGAAGGGCTGCAAGAAACGAGGTGGATCATTTGGGTCAGCGGCAAGAGAAGGCTAGGGGGAAGCCTGGCCCACTCCCCACTTCCAGCCCCATGGGGCCCAGCTAACATTGGTCTCCCCACTCTTCCCATCCCTGCCTGGCAGCTTCCTCCCTGGCCTAGAGAAACTGCTGCTACCTCTGGCTACTACGTATGTGTGGGAGGGGCACAGAGTCGCAACATGACGAAAAGGACAGAGCAAAGGTGCCAAGCTGAGGCGCGGGCCAGGTGGGGAAGTCGGGACTCCTGGCTTCTCTCTTCCCATCTCCCCATCAGGTCCAGTACAGGACTGACCAGAAACAGGACTGGAGCACATGGGCCAGGGGTGGGGTGGGGGCAGAGAAGAGGAAGACACCGCTATTGAGGATAAATTACAATACCAGCTAACCTGTATACAGCGCGTTAAGTCTGCAAAATTCTTTACAAATATTGTCTCATTCAGTCCTCAAAATAACCCTGGGAAGTAGGTCCCCATTTTATAGGTGATTATACTGAGGCCTGGAGATGTGGAGGGATTTGTTTGGGGTCATGGAGTGACTTAAGTGTCCTGAGAAGGATTTGAACTCAGGGCTACCTGACTCCAGGCCTAGCTCTCTATGGATTTCACCGGCTCTCAGGATGATGAATGGAAAGACTGCTTGTGCTTTCAGACATGTATATGTGTGTAAAATGTGTCCATGTGTGAGCATGTGCCTTGGGAAGCATGGCATGATATCTGTGTGGGCATACGCACATGTATACAATATGTATGATCATGGGCAGTGGGAGATAGAAAATGCCAAGAGCATGGGGGGAGCAGGATGTGTGTGTGTATGTATGCGTGTATGTATGTGTGTGTGCATGTGTGCATGTGCAGAAAGAGCTAGACGCGGGAAGGAGGCTACAAAGAACGAGTGTGGGAGGGGGCCGCAGGGCGGAGAGGAGGTGGCTGGTCCTTGTGGGGCACACCACACATGGGGGAAGGCTCTCTTAAGAGTCACAGAGGGTCCTTACCTGACTGTGAGGGCCCATCATGGGGGCGTTGGGATTGTGTGGGGGGGGCTGGGCGTGTGGAGACGGCTGAGAGCCAGGAGGGCCCTTGGGGAAAAGCAGAACAGAGAGGGTTATGGTGCCAAGGCCAGAGGTCCCTGCCCCTGTGCCCTGGCAGGCTGTCTGCAGCCCCCTGGCAAAGGACCCAGGTGGGCCAGTCTTCTCCGGCTGAGACTTAAATATGGTGGCAGCCAGGGGCTAGGACAGGGGCTGGGGGTAGGAGTGGTGGTACTGTCTCCCAGCACACACCATACCGGGCTGCCCGTCGGGGTCCCTGGGCCCCAATTTCCCAGGGTCTGAAGCAGAAGAAGCTAGAGAAAGGGCCAGAGTTAGGAAGGTGAGGGAAAGGGGCAGCTGCCTGGAGCCTGAGGCAGACGGTCTTTCTGTGCCAGCCTGGGTTCCAAGGCTCCCAAAGACCAGCTCCACTCCCAAGCCTGGGCAGCTCCCTTAACCCCCCAACCCCCCCCCCCAGCCCAGCCTCTCCTTACCTCCCTTACCCACAGCAATTCCCATCCTCCCCCCTCCAGTCCCTCTGACCCTCCCCCTCCCCAAGCCCCATCCTGTCTTGGCCCCCCCCTTTCCTTCTCCACACCCACCCCACCTCCAGTCCCAGCCTGGGCCCCTCCCAGAAGGCCAAGCTGGGGATTAGCAGGGGAAGGAAGCCCCTCTCTGTTTCCCATTAACACTAATTAAGAACAGATGAGTTTATAAGGCAGTTCCTGGTTGGGGGGGTCAGGGTGGTGCGTGCACCATGGGATGGCAGGAGATCCACACAACACCCTTGCAGCCTGCCTCTCTCTCTGTCTCCCTCATTCATCTCCTCCCTCCTTCTTTCTCTCTCCTCATCCATCTCTCTCCCTTTCCCTCCTTCCCTTCTCACTTCTCTTTCTCTCTCTCTCTCTCTGTCACACACACACACAAATACACTATACACACATACACTCTTCTCTCACACACACAGATACCATGCCTTCCTCTCTCTCTCTCTCCTCTCTTCTCTCTCCATCTCTCCCTCCCTCTTTCCTTCTCCATCTCTCTCTCTCTCTCTCTCTCTCACACACACACTAATACACAAACACACAGGCATAGGTGCAAACACAGAAACATACACCCACAGCCACAGGTGTAGGTATAGGTACACACACACACACACACACACTATATAGCCATACACTCTTCTCTCTCACACACAGATCTCATGCCTTCTTTTCTCTTTCAGATACACATACAAAGCCCAATGCTTGCACTTTCTCTCTCTCTCTCTCTCATACACACATACACACAGGCATAGGTGCAAACACACAAACATGCACACACAGCCACAGGTGTAGGTATATGTACACACACACACACACACACACACACACACTTTACAAAGCCTTGGGGCTTCACAGACCAGTGAGCACACAACTTGCAGACACACTAAATGAAATCTTACCAAAAACGTGAGGCCCACACGTGTCTGCGCCTCCCAGACACACACTCCTCAGGCAGCCTCCACACCTCTCCTCCTCTCTTACACACACACAGATCCACACAGACCACCCCCGACGGCCCCACCCCCACATACACATGGACCCCATCTCTTCGCACATTCCACACTACTCTTTCTCTCACACAAATCCCCCATGCTCCCATACCTCTCCCCACCCCCGCCCTCTCACACACACAAGCAGAGCTCATGCTTTTTTCTAAGCCACTCACACACATAGTTCCCCAGTGCCTCGCCTTTCTCACAAACACACGTCCCAGGTCTTGCTCTCCCCCCACCCCCGCAAACCACCCCTCGATTTCTCACCCCCCCAGGCTTCTCTTTCTCTCATTCATATACAGAGACCTCCCCTCTCCAAACACACACATGCCTCAGATCTCTCTCTCACATACAGCAACCCACCCCATGCTTCTCTTCTGTCATACACACTTGACCCCTCCAAGCCCTCCCCTCCCCCTCACATCACAGGTCTTGTTCTCTCTCTCATACATACACACACACAAATATATTATACATCTATACACTCCTGTCTCATACACACAGATCCCATGCCTTCCTTCCTTCCTCTCTCTCTCTCTCATACACAAATATACATCTATGTACTCCTGTCTCATACACACACAGATCCCATGCCTTCCCTTTTCTCTCTCTCTCTCTCTCTCATACACAAATATACATGTACACACTCCTGTCTCATACACACACAGATC